GCGCATCAGATGTCGAGCCACGCGCTCCGTCGCCAAGATCTGCATCCGCATCTGCAGTGCCATTGATCTGATTAGGACCAGTCGTGGTTTTCCGAGGCCGTGCAACACCACGGGTTGAAGGGCCAGATCTGGATACAGATGTGCGTGCTGTAGCGCCCCTGTATGCGTCTTCATCGTCATCTTCTGAGGAAGAACTTTCGCTCGAGGACATCATCTGAGCGTTTTGCGTCTTTCTACGCTTCTTTCTTGACTCGTCCTCGACAACCTCCTTGAACAGTGCGAACCGCAAAATGGACTCGGCCGCAGCCACGTCGCGCTCGTCAATACGGTTTGACAAGCGTGACTTTGCATGCGCGGTGGAAAGACGAACAAGCGTTTCCAAAGTTCGCACCGTCAATGGACTTGTACGGCGCTGGTTACCTTCTAGATCGTCATTCCGGAGGCCGACGTATATGTCTGCGATACGGTCGTTCGCCTCTTGCGTGAGCAAAGGACGAATTCGTGTTTTGGCATATTGGATGTACTTTTTCATGAAAGGGATACTCAAAACCTCCGGCTTCTTGTTCGCACCACGTCCCGATGTTACAGTGACGCCTGCATGGAGCATAGCGTCGAACTTCTCAAAGACATCCGTTTGACGTTGAGACTCGGTCTGGTTGTTGACTGCGACTCCAAGAGACTGACTTGTGTTTTCTCTTACCGGTGCGCCTTCTTCTGTGCCCGCTTGCCGGTAGCGATGCATGCGAAGAACGTGTTCTGAAACCTGTCTATCGCGTGTGTCCTCAATGTCGTCCGTAACTACGAAGAGGAGATCGAAACGTGAGAGAAGGGAGTCCGGCAGCGCGATGTTCTTGTGCGGGTCCTTATGCGTGTCATACTGACCAAAAATGGGGTTGGCCGCGGCTATAACGCTACACCTGGCATTCAGTGATGTGTGGATGCCTGCCTTTGCTATGGTAACAGTTTGTTGTTCCATGACTTCGTGGATAGCCACCCTGTCGATATCGGACATCTTGTCGAACTCATCGATGCAGACCACGCCTCGATCAGCCATCACCATAGCGCCAGCCTCCAGCCGGCGCTCTCCTGTCTCCTTGTCTGATGTGACAGCCGCAGTAAGACCAACTCCAGAAGAGCCTCGGCCTGTTGTGGCAATAGCCAGGGGGGCCGTGTTCAAAACGAATCGAAGTAGTTGAGATTTGGCAGTCGATGGATCGCCGACCATTAAAATATTGATGTCACCCCTGAGATGGGTGCCATTGGGAAGATTCTTCTCAATGCCACCCAACAGCATCAACAAAATGGCCTTCTTGATATGACCATGTCCATATATACTGGGGGCCAGGGATTGCGAGAGCAAGTCCAGAAGATTCTTCTTCTTGGCAATCTTGTTGATATTCCGGATATCCATATCTGTGATGGTGGCAGTGGCTATGCCGCCGCCTGATTTGGAAGACAGCAGCACAACGTTGTTCGCGAGGATGACCGTTTTGAAGAGAGCGCTGCTGTGGTTTGTGTTCCTGTTGCCAAGAGTCTTGTATATGCCAACCAATTGCACTCGGTCTCCTGGCTTGACCTTGTCCACCAGATCATCGTCCAGTACAACATCCACTCCACGGGGCAGTTGCCCCGCAGGGGCTCGCTCGGGCATTTCTTGCACAGAAATGGTCTGGTGGTCCCGGTATTTGCTGAACCCATACTCAGTAATGAGAGGGTTTCCCTCGTCATCCTCTTGAGGGTACACGCTGGAAGTAGAAGCGCCGTCGGTCATGGTCCGGTCTTGGTATTCCCTGAAATGGAAGACATTCTTAGCCTCGTTGTAATGAACGCTCTTGACGATCTTGGGTCTGATGAGTGAGCATCTGGTGACAATGCCTTCAAGGGAGATCATATTGTTGAGATGGTGTGACGACAAAGTACGAGGGTTGCATGCGTTGAGGCCAAAACTGCCCGCCCAAGCGCAGTAATATAAGGCATCTGCGACCTCCTCCGCTCGTGTCTGCGGCAGTGTTTTGACGATCTCTTTCAAGGCATGGTCGAAAGCAATTGTATAGTCAAACGGCTGACGAAGTATCCCTTCCGCGAGCTGTTCATTGTGTTCACGAACGTGGTCGAGGTTAACGTTCAAGCGCCTCTGATTCTTCTGTAACATCAAAATTATGTCAGGTCGGTAGCTTCTGGCGTGAGGATTTTCTGCGCGTGCCTAGTCAGCAACAATCATCCAAATGATCAGCCTGACAGGAGGGACACACGTGGATCAAGGAAGTCTTCCGCCTGCCGAACACGGTCAGCAGCCGCATCATCTTGAAGCATGAAAGAATCCATCTGGACAAGTTGTGTTCTATGGAGCGACCTCAAAAGTGGGAGTGAGGCTGTCTAAAGAGTTCGTGACGTTGGAAGGCGACTGTTCGAGGAGCCACGACGCGTGCGAGATTCGAAAATGAGGGGCTGCGACGCGTGCCTTCATTGACTACTCTGAAGCAGCATTGGCGCGTTAAGTGGTTGTGGGATTTATCCAATGGGCAAAGCCGAACGGTTCCACTCGGCACAAGGACGGTTTCTAAGGGACGCGTTGGCTTTCGGGCCAGCAGGCACCTCGCGCCTGAGCGCGGGACCGCACCGACCGCAAGTCTTCTCCTTGGGTTGAGTTCGGTCTGTATTGATTCATCCCGGCATCGGGTTCCACGTGAGTGTATCGACTAGTGTCGTCAGGACATCTCTCGCCTCTCCTTGTGGTAAGCTTCGGCAGCAGATTTGCCATTGACCTTAGGGTCGTGACTATGTCGATGCCGAGCCAAAGCAAGGCTGTGTCAGGACCTGGACCTCATGCTACTCCGCCGATATGAATCTGGTCCCTCTCGACACGTATAAGAACATTCAGAGCGCCAAAGCTCACTAGACTGGCGCTCGTGTTTGCAAACTTCACCAAATCTGTGCCACAGCCCTTCAGCCCGAGCTCGACTACCGACTTTCGTAGTACTATGATCTCGTTGAGCAAAGAGGCTCTTCCCCTGAGGTTGGGGCAGGCGACATGATAAACGATCAAGTAGTGCCCAAGTTCGCTGTCTTGCATCGTGACCTGCGGCATCAATTTCTGCAACTTGCCAGTTGCGAGGGTTACTATTGCATTCTAACAGACGGGAGGAAGATCTTCAATTCTTCTGGTGGTGCCGCTGTGGCATGTCTTGGGCACGGACACCCCAGGGTTCTAAAGGCGATGAGACAGCAAGACGCGATAGCCACATACTGCGCAACAAGGTTCTTTGCGCACAGCACATCTGAGGAATTGTGTCAACTTCTCGTTGAGCCGACTGAGGGCCACATGTCAAAAGGCTACATCGTAAGCAGTGGTATGTCTCCGGCGTCGCGACAGAGGGTGTCGTCTTTGCTAAAAGGCATAGGTTCGGAAGCCATGGAGGCGGCAATGAAACTTTCGCGTCTGTTTTTTCTCGAACAGACACCGGCACAGGGCACAAGATACAGGTTCATATCCAGAAGCCGCTCTTATCATGGGATTACGCTAGGGGCGCTGTCTGCTGGCGGACACGCCGGCCGACGAGCGAACTTTGAGCCCATGATGTGCAATAACACATCGGTCGTGTCGCCTTGTTTTTCCTACATAGGCCAGGCAAGCCACGAGACCGACGCTATGTATGTTGCCAGACTCGCGAAGGAGTTGGAGGACGAATTCATAGGCCTTGGTCCCCACACAGTATGTGCATTTGTTGTAGAGCCTGTAGTCGGAGCGGTAAGGCATCGTACAAATCGGTCTTGGCCAGCACCTTTAAGCTGATCATGCGAGGACCACAGGCACTTGGCTGTGTGCCTGCAGTACCAGGATATTTCAAGGCCGTGAAAGCGGTGTGCGAAAAGTACGGAGCGCTACTTATTCTCGATGAAGTCATGTGCGGCATGGGTCGAACAGGCACCCTTCATGCATGGCAAGATGAAGGAGTGGCCCCTGACCTCCAAACCATTGACAAAGGGCTTGGTGGTGGCTATCGACCAGTTGCGGGGCTCCTGATCAGCCGTCGAATTGTAGATGTGCTTGAAAACGGCAGCGGGCAAGTGCAATCTCTCTCTTTCACCTGCCTGATTTCTTGATGCAGCTAACATGTAGGACAGTATCTTCGTTCATGACCATACTTGAAAGGCTCATCTCAGCGCCTGTGCTGCGGCTCTTGAGGCTCAACATGTCGTTGTGTCCGATAACTTCTGGAGAACGTGAGGGATAAGGGGAGCCGCTTACCCAGGCAGCTCAGAAGCAACCTTGACAGTCATGCTCATGTCGGCGACATCCGGGGGAAAGGACTCTTCTGGGGCATTGAGCTTGTCTTGGATAAGCGCACTAAAGATTCATTCCCGCGCCACGCACAGATCGCAGCGAGATTGTCCGATCTGGCACTCACTGAGCCCCACGGGATCACGGTTTGCCCAGGAGCTGGCACAGTCGATGGCTACAGCGGAGATCACATCATCCTGGCACCGCCGTACACCATCACCGGTGCTGATGTCGATTTCCTTGTAGAGACTGTGACAAAGCTCATACATCATTTCTTCCATTATGAGATTAACTCCCCCGAGAAGTCGAGAGACAGCTGAAGTCTATTTGACCTGGTGGCATTGATTTGAGCTGGACCAGACCAAGATGCAAGTGTCGATCAAATTTGAGGTGTTAAATCCATGTAAGCCGTGTCAGTGATTACATAATACATATCCCCAGCAATTTGACCCCGGATAGAGGCCCACTCAATCAACCCCGTACCACGTCTACCCTCCTTGATTTGATCACTTCAACCGTCGTAGCTCTGTTGTGCAACGCTTGCTATTGCTCTTTCATAAGTATACGAGTTCTGACAACTGCTCTTTACACCACATGGTACAAATTCGGTGTGCATATTTTCAACAGCGACACACATACGCGAACTGTCCCTTCCAACAACGTGCCTAAACTCGCTTAGCGTCCCCATCACCTTGATGTCGCCCTCAATCAGTTAGCCATGGCTGTGACGGTGACAAATAACCGCCAAATTGCGGATGAAGAGGCGCGTGCCGAAGTCGATGTGCTGAGCTCCCGGCTCGAGAAGACGACCCAATTAACACGGAAGATACAAGCCTCACTAGGGAGACTTGATGCCACCGGCAAGAGTGTACGCGATGTTGCAGGCCCACTCAATGGCGAGACAAAGAAGTTGCAGGTTCTTGGCCACAGTACGTTGCTCACCGGTCCAGCCGGTCCAAATTTCCCTGCTCAACGGAGTCACTGACTTCTTATGCTCTCCAAAGACATCGACAAAGTTGTATCGTCCATCGAGAAGCTGCGACAGCCAGCCGATAGTAAGAATGACGAGGAACAGATCATACGGGCGGGACCTGACAAGGCTGGGCTTGTCAACTATCTTGCCTCTGTCAAAAGATTGAACCAAGCCTTGGCCGATATGCAGACCTCGAACCTGCGGGCAAACCAGCAAACCATCGCTGACCTTTCACGCCTAGTGAAGTCTGGCAATACACAGCTTGAAGGTCATTTCGACAAACTCATTCGCGCCGAGACACCGCGATCGATCGAGCCACTACACTACATTACCAAAGACGTCCCGTTCCCCACACTTGCACAAAGCGTGATCACGCCCTTGGCTCTCATCAGGGCACATGTGGCTAGCAGACAACCCCAGGTGACTTCACAAGATTCTCCAGCTGCGAAGATTTTTGGCGATGTCCGAGGGCAATATCTGTCATCAACACTGGTCAATTTAGCCGCTGCAAGCGTCAATACGGCAAAGAAGAAGAACTCGGAAGCCATATATAGGGCTGGGACCAACGGCATCGGCACATATGCGCAAGCCATGGAAGGCCTCTTCCTGGCAGAGTACGAGAATATTTGCAACCTCTTCAATCGGGGTGACTGGGGGCCCATATTTCAGGTCACATGTCAGGCGGCTCTAGCAGAGCTAGCACGCGCTGTTAGAGAGCTGAACGTTCACATCAAAGCCCATCTCACTACAGATTGCTACCTGGCGTACGAAATAACCGAGATCATGTCAAGCCTCTCTGAAAAATTGGAAACGCGAACCGGGGAGCTTAAGTCGACCCTAGCCGCGGCCCTTCGTCCTGTGAGAGAAACAGCCAAATCTTCACTAGCCGAACTGCTGGAGGATACCAGGCGCAGAGTCGGCAACATGCAAGTACTTCCTGCCGATGGCGCGCCCGTCTCCATCGTCTCCGAAACCATGCAACGTTTACAAGCCATGGTGGAATTCCTGCGCCCCGTTTCGAGTATCATGGTTTCTATTGGCGACGGGGGCTGGAAGTCTGTCGCCGCTGTGAATGGCCGCTCAGCAGATGTCATCCCAAGCCTGGCATCATTCGACATTGGTGCTGATGGCAAGGAAATCTTCTCACATTATTGCACAGATACTATTGAGACGTTACTTTCATCTCTCAATCAAAAGGCTCAAGCTGTGCTCCGAGGTGGTCGGGGAGTGTTGGGTGTTTTCTTGGCAAATAGCGTTGTTATCGTGGAGCGGATGATACGCGATTCTGATCTTGCTCCGTTGCTTGAGCAGCGTCTGGCATTGCTCGACCAGTGGCGAAAGAAGTCCAAAAGTCTGTATACCATGGACTGCAAGGAGGTATCCAGTCATCTGTTCGATGTTATACATACGAACAAACAACGACCTACCTCGGGCCAACCTGATTCGAGTTCCATCGTCAAAAGCTTGAGCAGCAAGGACAAGGACAACATCAAGAACAAGTTTCAATCATTCAATGCATCATTCGACGAAATGGTTGCAAAACACAAGTCCTACAACATGGAACGGGAGGTTCGTCAGATGTTCGCGCGCGATATCCAGCAAATGCTTGAACCGTTATATAACCGTTTCTGGGACCGCTATCACGAAGTTGACAAGGGCAAGGGCAAGTACGTGAAGTACGACAAGAGTGCTATATCGGCGGTCTTTGTGACCCTATACTAAGCGCTTTTTTTCTCTCCTTGCAACGGCGTCCCGGACAACATGTAAATGTTGGGGTCTAGGGGAATACGGATCATGAGGCGTTGCAGTTAATTACAGGAGTTAGGTCACGCATGTCTTATCGCCAAGATATCGCAATGGCCACAGCATATACTATGAGCAATCGTCCAACTGCTGGGTCATGACAACATTCTGCGGCGGCGCCATGATTACATGAAATTACTTACGACGGGCCGTCCAAGTCGGTTTTGTTACTTTCTCCTACGAGGATACGCTAGCCTTCACTTTATTATAACTATTTCGCTGTCGACTAGAGCTTTTCTATCCTCTGGGCGTCTGTAACACCACTGCCGGAAGCAAAGGCTCTTTACGTGTAGGTCAAGCCGTAACTCGATCCAGACACGGCCGCGGAACGCTGTACATGTGCATCAATCTGGGCCGATCTGATACAGTCAGATTGGCTATCCTAGCAATCAATATCTGAATTTAGCTAAATCTGGTGTGTGCGGCATAGAAAGGGTTTCATAGGAGTGTCCAGCAAATGAATGCCATGACCAAGATTGTGGAGGTGAATTTACCTCTATGTGGTTGCTCAGGACGACCTGAGCACTGTTGTCTCTGTATCACCCATGACCACACATGAAAGGATGGTGAGAGACGGAGGTAAAGAGTCCGCTTGAAGGGCACTGAACGGATAGTACAGTATTGTTATTCCTGTGCCGAAGACGGTTGCAGTCCAGTTCGAAATACCATGTCAGTCCGAGAGCTCCTCTCCCACACCAGCACCCCATCGCTCTTCCGCCTGAAGTAGAGAATTCGGTGTTGAGGGATAAACTCCTCGTGGGTTTGTTCCAGCTTCCACGCCCCAACAGCTTTCTCTTGCGGCTCAGCGAGGTGACGATCAGTGTAGCCGATGACAAAGTCATCGCTACTCATACCCGGGTCCCACCGTAAACGATGCAGCACATCGGAAGCTGTGCGAAGTTTTGGTTGGCCTTGGGGCCTAGGGAGGCGTGCAGCTGCGTTATGGGATTTGGAAGAACCTGTCTTGCACTTCGACTGGCGAGCAGGCTCCGCAGATCCCGCTGAAGAGGCCTCCGTCGGATGAGCAACCTCTTCGTCGGAAGATTCGTCATCAGACTGATATTCGCCCCAATCCTGGTCATCGGGAGACATCCTGCCAAGCTCTGAACCTGGCACAAGGGAAGCGTTAAACCACGACCTCTGAGGGTCGAAGTAGCTCTCGCCGCCCCGTATTCGCCTTGTAAATTGCTGTAGTATTTCTTGGAGGGTCCCATGAGCTTTTTCTAGCTTCAGCTTAGAAATCGGCTCACCATGGACTTCATCCCAATCTAGACCGATCAGATATATCCCGTGATAGTGCCCCGATGTGCTGAAATTCTCTGTATGTGACTCCGTGAATCTCTGGGGCCATATGCGGGCAGCTGAACCTGGCAATTGCATGCCAATATCTAATCGAGTTAGCCAGAGATCCGTTTCGTGAAGATGAGGTCCGGTGCGTCGTGACGTACCAACCAGTATGCTGACACAACGAGATTCCAACCATCCGACCAATCTGCAACCGTGCTTTAAAGAAGATCCCCAATAGTGAAGGTCCATTTTGATATATGACTTGAACGTTTTCAAGAAGTCTTGAGCACCCCCGGAGAACCCATCATTACAAGGGTCGTCCCCACCAAGAAACTTAGACCACGTCATGTTATCCGTCATCATGCGATCTCTGGCCCTCTGAAATTCCCTCTCCAGGGTTTTCACAGTCGGCCTTGAAGCTGCAGAAGACGTGTTCAGGATAGGCGAATGCCAACCAATTATGCAAAGAGGCTCTCGGAAAGACCGATCATAACGAAATTGCTTGTGAAAGAATGGATCAAACGCAACTTGCGTTTGCCAGTTGAAGGTGGCATAGTGATCGAAAAATGTCGTGATGACACTGGTTGCCGACATGCTGTTGCCACTGTGCGACAGCAATTTGCAAATGCGTGCTAGGAGTACTGAGATGTGTATTCCTCCCAAGTAGCCGAATCGTGCGCCATAAATCCCCCGTATCTTGGCCCACTCCTTGATCAGTTGGTATGCCAAGCGGAACTGTACGAGGTCCGGAATAGAGTAGAGTAAGTAGAACAAATCTCTTGCGGGCTTCAACTTTAGGAGCGTCTCGAACTTGAGATCAAATGCGGGATCCGTCGGCGGTCGCCTTATAATTTCGGGCCAGCTGGTGGTAATCGTCAGTCATCAGGTATATCGTGTAGCAAGTGTGGAGGCTACCTACGCCTCAGCAATGTGCGGAGCCTGGCAATACTGCAAGTCCACCCTAACACCTCGAACCTCCAGAATCAACATAGTGCCTGACTTCGACTTGACTTTCCGCAGAACTCGAACGACATCCGAGGCTGATTTGGCGATCCTCTGCCTGGCTAGTCGGAAAAACGTTGCAGCACTGCAGGCTCCGATGCAGAAACAGTCCAGGTCAGAATCTGTAGTCCAGACTCCAAGCCCGTAAGAGCCGACTGGTATAAGCACGACTGGGAACCGTCCAGTGAATGTGTCTGGGCCATTGCTGACACTGCTGTCAAGAATGACTGATTTGACAAGCTCGAATGCATCTCTTCTGATATTCTGTTCACTATCAGTTGGAATGCACTGTCGACTCTGGAGGCACATCTGCAATGAGTCTGTGCTGGACAACCCTGCGGGCGCTTGAGCAGGTAGCACTGTAACGGCCGTGTGCTGTGGCGTAGGTGCTGCATCCAACCCTGGTGTCTGCCGCTGTTTGAGAAGAAGGCATCGCACACCCCAGTGATCACTTGCATGAGACACCGGCTCTTGAGTCTCCTCTATCCCTGCAGGGCTTTTGTTGAAACCGAACATGTTAAATCCCCGGACGGTGAGAACGCCCGGGCCCTTGAGAAGAATACGATCGTACCTTTGCGGTCGGTTGTTGAATCCACTGCCCATTGTGGCGGCTGCTAAGGGGTTCTCCTGGGGGTCGAATGTGGCCCCTTGTTCTCCTTCGAAGGCATCACACAGGCTTCTTGGCTTTTTCAGATTATCAGAAGACTCGCCTACCTCCATCCGGGCAACGGCCCAAGAATCCACAAACTGAGCTTCCCGCAGCATAGTCTCTATGCGATACAGGGAGGCCCTCGTCTGTCGTGATATAGTACCTGTTTTGACTGCCATGTTTAGGGTGTAAGAAGACGTTGCCACGTTGAGATCCCCGGCGAGGACCCAGACGTTGTGGGCATGTGAACTACCCAGGTAATTGATAATGCGTTGTAATTCACCACATTTCGCAGCCACAGCACCATCTGTAAGCCCTTGGCTTAAGTGAGTGGCTGCGAGGATGACAGGTAAGGCATGCCCTTGCTCATCATGGGTGCCGATGTGGTCAAATGCCAGAAGGCTGCATCCCTTGTGTCGGCGTTGAAACGGCAAAAAGCCCCACCTGAAACTATGCTGGCTGAGAACGAGAACATTGAGAAGGCTAGGGAGCGGCCCAGTGCTCAGCCCGTCAGGTAAGCCGTGGGTGGCGAAGGGGTAGATTTGCTGAATATTCTGGTTGCTCAGCAGATGAGTGAGGAAGTCGTCAGTGACCTCTTGCAGGACTACCACGTCAGCCTGGGCCGTCTTTGCCAGTAAGTTGCGAACAATTAGAGGATATCGAGCTGAGCAAGGAGGCCACTCGAATTCGGCCAAGACATTGTAGCTGGCTACGATAAGGTGTTCCGGTATGCAGACTTCCGGAGCCACGGGGGCTTGGTGAGCAGCCCAGCATTGCAGGGTATTGGAGAAATGGTAGGACTGGCGAGGCTCAATTTGGATCGCATTGGTCGGAGACAGTGCCAAGTCGGCAGAGAGTGAAGGCCGTTCAAGCTCGAACTCGCCCGATGCTATGTCAATACGCCCATGAACTTTCATGCACCCAGTCGATTCATCGCGGATAAGCAAATGTAGTTGACGTACTTCCCACGAGACAGGTGGCAACAGTCTGAGTTTTTCAACCAGGTACCTTCTCTTGGGTGATTCAGGGGCCTCTTCGCACTGCGCTACTGTCATATGCATATGGAATGCCATGTTGTTGCCCCATTGCAAGCCGTCCAGGACAAGCTGGCGGAGTGAAGCAAGTCTTTCCAAGCGTGTGGGATTTTCGTCCTGAATGAACAATGACGCCGATTGTTTATGTAGAAAAAGCCCAGGAGAACTAAGGGATAAATGTATACCGGGTGTCGCGAGGATATCTTGAGCTTCTTGAAATATAGGTAGAATCACAGCCAGCGTTTGTTGAATGGATATACGGGAAACAAAAGGGTAGAGAACATTGACGTGGGGCGGCCATTTGCCATGATTTTTGTCGTTTGCGAAGCGAAAGCCATCGATGGCGTAACATTGATCTCGAGGGGGGATGAGACACAAAGCCGTTTCGTAAGACGCGATAAATGTAGGCGCCATGATTCCAGCAGCGATTGTTCAGGCGGTTTCCACGGAAATGGACCTTGTGGGCAACTCATGCATGGATGGGCTTCTAGGGGACGCCGTGAGCGTTGTTTTATACATACTATATCACATTCACAGTGGGTAGGTAGTTGACGGAATTTCTTACTATTACCCAGTAGACTCAATCAAGACGCTGCAATGAAAAGCTGCAGAGACTTGTGACATGAGAGGGCTTCGCTCGTGTGAGGGCAGTTGACTCACCGGCGAGCGACTCACCGATGACGGGAGGTGACGTGACTCACGGTGTCCTAAAGCTACAGAACTAGAGAAGTACATAGACTGTAGATATAATTAGTCTATCCCTGTGAAACTGAATTCAGTCTCAGTGCAAATAAACTGTATTGAAAGGACCTACCTAGCTATTACGACCTGGCAGCTTCCAAAGAGGGAACACTGACAGAGGGTTAGAGTTACTATCAGTAGAAGCTTTAGGTTACTCTAAAGCAATATAGTATCGAAAAGCATTACGTACTCGCTATAATAAATATAAAATAAGGCTTAGATTGATTACTATTATAAGAAAAAGTATAACTATAAGTATAAGAATATCTATCCTTATATACTTATTATCCTATCCTTATTATATTAATAAGCTTATATTTAATAGCTTATTATTAAGTTATAATCTTAATATATTATATTATAGATTACTAAAATATATATTATAAGTAAGTAGGCTATATAGGCGAGGAAGCTACTTACCTTAACTTTTTCGATTATTTTACTTAATAATATAATAATAAGATATTAGATTAATATATATAATAAGTAAGGAGGCTAGATAAGTAAATAGGCTACCTAATTACGAAATTATAATTATCTATCTTTCTAAGAAATTATTCTTAACTATTTAATATATTATTTTTTCTTATAAAAGCTAATTATTACTTAGTCTCTAAGCTATTAAGTAAGACTTATAGCTTAATATTTAAAGTATTATATAAATTAATAATATCTCTAGAGTTAGTATTAATTATTATTAAAAAGGTATTCTATTTAAAAGTAATATTATATTTAAATTAAAAGAATTAATAATTATTTAATATATTTTTAAATTAAATTCCTAATTCTTTCCTCTTAAATTTATAAAATGAAAATTTAATTAATTAATTAATTATTAATTATAATATATTATATATTAAGATATATTAAACCTTAAATTTTATTAAATAATAATTAATTCTTTATAATATAATTAGTAAAAGATCTTTTATAAAAGTCTTAATATAATAAATATATATTTTATATTAATTTATAATATAATTATAAGATATAATAATATATAAAATAAGTAAGTAGGCTAGATAAATAAGTAGGCTACCCGATTATAAAATTATAACTATTTATCTTCTTATAAATTATTCTTTACTACTTAATATAGTACTTATTTCTTATAAAGGCGAATTATTCTTTATACTCTAAACTATTAAGTAAGACTTATAACTTAGTATTTAAAGTATTATATAGATCTATAATATCTCTAGAGTTAGCTTTAATTATTATTAAAAGGGTATTCTATTTTAAAGTAATATTATATTTAAATTAAAGAAATTAATTAAATTAAAGGAATTAATAATTATTTAATAAATATTTAAGCTAAATTATTTATTATCTCTTTTTTAATTTTATAAAATAAAGAATTATAATTAATTAATTATTTATTAATTATAATATATTAAGCTTTAAACTTTATTAAATAATAATTAGAGTTTAAAATATATTCCTTTAATAAATTTAACTATAAAAAAGCTTTCTATAGAAGTCTTAATAATATACTTCCTAGGCGAGTAGACTACCTAGGCGAGTAGATTACCCTATTATACTTATCGATATATAACCCCTACGAAATTAACTATAATGCTGAAAATTAATTTATCTTTACTCGAAATTATCTACTCTAATATAATCTATATATATTTAATATAATTAGATATTATATCTAAGCTAGCTATAATTACTATACCTTAATATAGTTATAGAGGACTATATCTAATAATTACTATTAATATAGTTTTCTTATTTTATAATTATATTTAGATCTTTCTACTTAATTAAAACTTAAGTTTAATTTATAATAAAAGGTTTTTTATATTATATATAGGTTTTTATAATCTTATAATATTTATTAATAATTATAAACTCTTATTAATTAATCTTAAACTCTTTAT